CGTCGGTAGAGGCATATCGAATAAAGAAGCAAAACCTGAGCGCGCTCGGCCTCTGACCTCAACCAGTAAGCTACGCTGTTTCGCCCTTGATGCAGAATTGGCTCTGTTTGTTGGGACTGTATAGTCTTTCCTTTTCCCTCTTTGTACGTACTATATATCCTATGACCACTCCCTTCAGTTCCTCTGGCAAGGCCATCACCACGCGAATAGACACCGTGCTGCGTCTTGTGAACCTTGGAAGATCTAGGGGTCGCGATCTTGCACGCGAAGGACGATTTACCAAGAAAGAAAACAGTGCGGGCCTGGTTACTTCAGTTGCCCTATCTCATGAGCAATTCCATGCCTTAATTCTTCTGTCATATTGAGCTTTTGCTTAAACTTTCGAGACACCCCGTGCTTTCGCATTCTTTCATTTCCTCGCCGCCGTCATTCCTGAGACGTCCCGGATGCCACCAAGCAAAGACATGCGATCTAAGACGCGCCGTGCGGCGCCCCTGGCCCGTGGACTGGTACAGGGTGGCTGCTCTCCCAGCACTGGGCGACGGGCTTCTTTCTCGGGGTTCAAAAGCCGGTACCGTGACGAGGGAGGGTGGAGTCGGGAGGTGTAACGCGGGTTCGTGCGTAGAACCCGACGAAGATGCTTGAGCTCGGCTTCTTTTCGATGAATGTCCTCGATGAGTGCGCGCAGGTCCTCTTCACAAAACTCCCGCTCGGGGATTTCCCGCCTTCCATCCTCGTCACTCTTCTCGACCTGACCCACTCCACGGGCCAGACTCACCATCTCTGCATATTTTTGATTCAGATTGCGGAGTTCTTCCTCCAACATAGCTTCCACCTCCCCCAGTTCCGCTTGTACCGCCGACACCACGGCTTCCTCATGTTCCTGTTCCGCTTTATTCAACGGTTGTTGTTCGCATTCCTTCTCTATGCGCCACCGGGCAGCTAGTCGATTGGAGACATTGATGGGTGGTACGCGGCGGTTCCATGCACGGGCGGTAGCCGGGTACGACATAAAGGTCGCTTTGCTCGGTTCCACCCAAGCGCTGCGACCCTCCCGTCCTCCCTGGTACCCTGACTCGTGCTGCATCAATTCATACAGGGCGTCCAGCACCTGTCTGGGCTCGTGTTGCTTGCACTTTCGCACCGCCTGGGAAAGAGTGGCCAAGAGATTGTAGGTGCGGTGGTGTGTGGCGGGCAGGAAGGGCAACATACCACCCTGGCCGTTTCCAACCCTGGCGCTGGGTCGAGTAGAACGGATGCCGGGAAAGCGCGCGCCCGCCACGGTCGGGGCCCGCTTTTTCGCGCCCTGCGCATTGTAGTGCTTCGCCAATTCCTGGTTCATATCCATGACCGACAAGAGCACCTCCCCGAACTTCTCGTTGCGATGCTCCAGCTCCAGACGCAGGGCCGTTTCCGCCTCTAGAGCGCCACGGAGCCCTTCGGTTGTCTCTTCTGCGACACCGCAGCGGCTTCGCAGCGTTCGCTCCATCTTGGAAATGCGGCCTTCCATGTCCCGCATACGCCCCTCGGCAATACGTCGACTGTCTTCTTCCACGGCCAATCGCGCCCGCAGACGATTCGCCTCTTGAAGCAGAGAGCGCCGCTTCTCCTCTGAACTAGCTAATTTACTCTCCATTGCCTCCTTTTCCGCCAATAAGCTTTCGTACGCACTCTGGATGTGGACACACTGCTCTTGAAACTCCAACCCCTCCTTCCGTCGTTGCAATTCTGAATGGCGCTGCACCTCATTGTTTTGCTGACGAAGGGCAGCGTTTTCGACGATAGCGTCTGCCCTCTCTTTCTCCAATCGCTTGATCTTCTCCTGCAATGCGCGGAGGGCGCTCAAGATGGCTGTGCTGCTCTTACTTGCCGAGGAAGATTGGGTCGTGGCGTATGAAGGGGGCGATAACGAAGCAGTTGCTTTGAGTTGGGGACGAGAGCGGGTTTCGAGACATGCTTGTGGGCCGTCGACTCTGCTTGAACGAAGGCCCTCTTGATCCTTCTTATGTTCCTGGCTTTCACGAGTATTGAACGATGTAGAGGGCGAGCCAGTGAAGATATCTACACTGCCCGTACGACGAAGGTGTACATGTGTCTCAGGAATCTCTGTGATTTGCGAAAAGACAAGTAATGTGACAAATGAGAGCGAGATAGACACCGGTTTCGCATGATTTTCACGCTTCACAACTAGGCACAACATAGCATCACTGAAGAGTCCATACCATAAACTTCCTTAGTTTCAATGGATGAGTGTAGATATGTGACCAACTTTGGACGGGCACACCCTGAAGAAAAAACAATTAAAGGATCCCGGCGCAAACCCAAAAAAATCGAGACAAACCTATGTTTCCACCATTATCATTCGCTGAGCTCGCATGTGAAGGATGTGTGTGACTACCACGCCCACTCAAGTTTGCGCCGTATGTGCTGCGGGAAAAGCGGTCTGGGCTTTTCATTACACAAGGTACTTTTTGGCTACGCAGTTTGTCCAGTAAGCCCCTTTCTATACCTGGTACTGGCACTGTAAGACGGGTATTTAATGAGAAAAAGACCATGTTCGAATTTGAAATAAGATTTTGGACGAGCCAGCAAAATTTAAGAACCCTTACGTGCAAGTTCCCTATTTTGCTAGGGGCACAAGGCCCCCGTGGAACAATTTGGTGAGTGCACACAAGGAAGGAGCGATACGACCCGGCGGCGCCAACGACGGGCCCATTTTTGAAAGTGAATCCATGCTAGTCGCGGGTCGCTTTGCAGTTCATATTTGGTCTGTATCATAAAAGCACGACTCTTTCAATCTGTCAATTGTGGATTTTCGAGCAGGATGTGAAGGCCGCGCTCAGTCAGCCACAATTTGTGCGTGGTTGTTCCTTGCTTGAGGTTACCGGCCGGCCTGGCCGTTACTTTTTGGCTCGAGCTGGGGAGGGGGAGAGAAAGGAAGTCGGCAGAGACGATTCGGCCACGCTCTAGACATGCCTGAATCATAATTCTGGAGCTGTCTATGTCGTTGCTAGTTTGATAAGGCATATTCGATGTCTACAATGTGGCATTGGGCATGTAACAATCGTGTATGGCTCGAATCTGAGCCCCACGGGAGCAATATTCGCCTTGCCTCCCTGGGCCCTCCATCCACATGCTGCCTTGGCGTCTGTGATTTAGTTACGAGGAGACACCACATTCCGAGAAATTTCATGTATAAGATGTTGACAAGATACACGTAATGTGCAATGGATCGTATCATACTCGGATGCGTATTCGACTGACCTGGGAGCCGCGAAGTTTGAGGATTATCATCACTTGTTTACTTATGGGCCTCAGCTGTCCCTCCGGTTGCCCCCCTCCCCCCTTCAAGCCAAAAAACACAACAGCGTATATCATCCATCAAATGGCTAGAATTCTTAGCACGAATCGTCGCCTGGTCTTTGTCTTCGGCGTTCTGGTCTTTTTAATGTGCTTCGTCGCCAGTGGTATGGGCGAGAGTGCCCGGAGCGCCAGGAAGGTGGCGGCTGCTTCGGAATTTGACGAAGAGGAGACCGAGGCCTTGAAGGATTGGGAGGAGGATGGTGAATGGGACGAGGAAGAGGATGAGGATCAAGACTTGGAGGACGGCTTTGAGGATGAGGAGGAGGATGAATACGAAGACGAGGAAGACGGGTTCGAGGAGGAGGACGAAAGGGAAATGACGGACTATGAAGCTGAAGAGGAAGATGACATCGACGATGAGGGCCCGGAGTGGGACGAGGCTTTGGACCAGATCGAAGACGGAGACGGCCCATCTCTGGACCTCGGGGACTTGGAGGGCCTGATCGACAAGGAAGACCTCATGCGCAAGCTGGAGGAGATGGGACTTGACTTGGATGTAAGTCTACTCCGAATGCGATTCAACAGTAGTCTGGATATGGCCTTTTCTTGGAAGGATACCTAGAGTGTTTTTATAGCCACTCGCGCAGAAGTCAAAATTGTGAAAATGTGATAGGCAGGATGTGGAGGGCGGGATACGTGGTGCTCAGGGACATGTGTTTGTGCGCCAGCATTTGTACGATTCTTTCATCTACACGTATAGTGCGTGATTCTTCTTTGTTGTGTGTCATTATAGCATGCACGTGCTACTTGGCCATGGAACTCTTAACATGCGCAACTTGTGAACAACCTGATCTCATCACTTCGCCTACCCCTACAGGATGTCCATATCAGCGTCGATATGGGCGAAGATGCGATGGAAGAGGACGAGGAGGAAGAGCTGGAAGAGGAGGACGAAGATGAAGAGGATGAGGAGGATGAAGAGGAATACGAAAACTTTTAGAACATACGTGCAGGGATAGCGAAACGTGAAATTGCAAGAAAGTTCGGGACGTGGAGAGAAGAGTTGATTTGCTTATAAGGAAGCTAATAGGGAAGAATCAAAAGAGGAAAAAGCTGCCTTAAGAATTGGAGCCTCTGGTCATAAAAAGAAACGGATCCATGAGAAGGCATCCAGGCCTAGTCGCGAAAGTGTTACACTACGGGAGTCGTGAGCAAAAAATGGATCGAATTAGCTCACAAACATGAACAATATAAAGAAGGAAGAATAGAAAAAAGGGAGCTTACAACAAGAATCTGGCTCGCAATGTCTTTTTCGTCACTCAAAGCCTCCTGGCCCCTTATCGCGCAGCTCCAGCAAATGGTGAATTTTCTCGAACGGTGCCTTGGTGGCTGCCGATGACATTCAAAAGAAACATCTAAGTTGATAGATTAAAACACATCAACTCAAATTTCTCCCATGGATATGCAAAATAAGGTCCACATCCGTGGTGCCCTCCCTCGTGCGGACGAAGATGTGTCGGGAAAGATTACCCGGAGCATGCCATGGCCCCTGGTTGAGCTGGACATCAGACCTACGAGGTCAAAGATTTATCAGCTTTCTAGTGATTGAGTCTCACTCATAGCCCATTACTGAGCAGGTATAAATAAAGTTTCAGGATTGACAAATTTCCTGTGACTTATCTGCCCTCTTTGGACCTCAGGCGTGGACCTTGCAAAAGCAACCGCACGTCTACGCGGTCATGCGGCGGACTTCGAGAAGACAAATGGCTTGCGTGCATTGTACAACAGAAGTACATGTGGAGGTTCCCGACGTACAAGTACCTCTTGCCGTTTCCTCGCCCGCATCGATTCTATTTCTCTGTGTGGGCGTCATTGCACTCTTGCTTCCGAGTGCGACGGGCTACGATGCCGCACCATCATGCTCCGCATTCTTGACGCCGCATTCACCGTCCTCCTTCCAATTATTTGCGTCATCTCTTTGGAAGTGCTCTCGGTGCTCTTCTATTCCTTTCTCCTGTTCCCGCTTCATAGTCTCCCGACACCTCGTTATGAAAGGCGCCGCAGACCCCCACCACACTGTCAAGCGCATTTGTGCCACAAACAAATACGCGAAATCATCTTACGAGATCGGAAAGAAATTTGAAGCGGGTATCTCACTAGTTGGTACGGAAATCGGTCCGGTGGCTAGCGGGCAGTGTCAGCTAAGAGATGCCTACTGCCGGGTACGAGACGGGGAGCTCTGGATTCACAATCTCTTCATAGGGCCGCATAAAACGACTGGAAAGTATTTTCAGCACGCCGAAAAACGACCACGACGCTTACTAGTGCACAAAAAGGAGATACTGGAATTGAAATATGCCTCGGACAGGGACGGACAAACCATCGTTCCCTTATGCATTTATCTGACGGCCACCCACCGTGTGAAAGTAGAGGTGGCGATCGGAAGGGGAATCAAAAAGTACGACAAGCGAGAAGCAGTCAAGCAGCGCGAGATAAAGCGGGGGTTCGAGCGGCTACTTAAAACCTACTGATTGGTTTTGGATGTGAGCTAGACAGGCGTATGTCGGGTAACATAGTGCGTTCCCATGTGCAGGAAGTGTCCCCAAACGTCTTAAAATAATGTAAAAACTGGACAAACTTTATTCTTTGCCATGAATTTTTGGACTTTTGTGTTTTGTCGCGCACAATTAGGGTGAAAGAGGGGCTTGCGCGATTCCCCTAGGCAAGACGTGAAGGAGGGCAATGAGCGTCAAAGTTCGGTCCCACGGGCCCTGACTATCTCCTTAGACCAGGTCCTGTCGCAAAGTGACAAGCCTTTGCACGCCCGGTACGCACAGAGTGTCTTCCCTCGTGCCTTAGGAGGGGTCAATACAGCCATTATTGACTGTTCACATGAGAAGCTACCCACAACACGTTGCACTCTCGCCGATTCTGCTTCAAAAGCAACATCATCATGGTAGTGGGCCAACATCCTTTCTCTGTCGTCGCTTCTCACACCATACGCCCCATATTATACGGCAAATACACAAAAAAAGAAATGTTCAAAGTTTTCGCCTCCTCTACCACCGGGTCGTCGGCCAAAGCAATCTCAGTGGCGCATCAGCAGTTTGTGCAGCGGGGTCTTTCCTCCCTAAAATCCCTCCGAAAGCGTCTCGTGCTTGTAAACGTCATTTTGACCTTTCTTCTTCTTGCATTAGCGTTGGAATCTCGCAGACAAGGGCGTCGTCATCGTCTCTCCAGAATTCTTTGGAACCTGTATCTCAAAGTACAGCGTTTCATATGGCCCTGGCAGGAGCGTTTGGTACGACTGCAAGGACTGAATGCGGGCTCGCGATTACTTTGGGCTAGCACTGGCAAATGCAAGGCTTTCTCCTGTGTCTTCTTTTGGGGAGGCGCAGAGGATGAGGATGGGGGGTTGAAGGCGTCGTTGAGTACCGGCGATGGAGATGGAGGACAATGCACGCGCAAAGTGGTCCTAGGAGATCGGGGTCGGGCCCGTTGTTCCTGGATGGTGCGACAGCAATTTTTGCGGCGCGCGTACTGTGACGTGTCCTTCGTCGTAGAAGGGAAGACATTCCCTGCGCACCGATGCTGGGTGGCGGCCTTCAGCTTGCCTCTGTGCGCCATGTTCAACAGTGGGATGCGGGAGAGCCAGGAGTCTTGCATCCTCTTGCGGGACACGGACGCAGGGGCCTTCGAGCTCATGCTCAATTTTATATATGGAGGGTAAGGCTTGTTTTTGGAGGGCATGCGGGGCTGCGAAGGGTATGACGTCGTGGTGCTGGTCATGCTTGACGGGTAAGGCGTCCGGTGTCCCATAGGGGTTCTCATGCGCCTCCATGTCTCTAATATGCACGTGCCCAGACCTATCGAACTTAACCAAGACAACATCGAGTCCGTCCTTGAGCTTTCGGTCAGGTTTGCCGTCGGCATGCTTATGGAGCAATGTTGTAATTTTTTGGCCTCGGCCGTGGCCGTTGACACCGCCTGCGCCATATTAATCCTTGCCGACGTAAGTGTGTTTTTACCACTATGGAGTCCTCTGATCCTCGAACTGACGACACCCCGTCTCTCTTTCTCCTGCTTGACGCAGAGATACGACTGTCGGCCCCTCCGGCGCGACACTCTCCTCTTTCTCGTCGCCCACCTACCGCAGTGCTGGGCAGCCGCGAAGGGCCACGTCGCCCGCCTTCCCCGACACCTACTCCTCGAGGTCCTCTCCCACGATGGCTTGGACCACGGGGAAATCGTGGCGTTCCGGGCGGCCGTGTACTGGCTGGAAGAGTGGCGACGCACCCGTCCGGTGGAGCAGGACGAGGCCGAGAAGGAGGAAGAGGAGGCGCTGGTGGAGGAGGTGTTGGGTCAGGTGCGCTTCCCCTACATGCCCGCCGCCCTGCTCGCGGAGGAGGTGGAGTGCCACCCAATCATGCAGGCAGAGGCGTGTCAACGCTTTATCCTGGAGGCCTACAGGTATCAGGCGATCTCGCAACGCGGACAGCTGGCGCGTCCGGTGCAGTTGGGGGCGGGGGACGGGGGCCGCCCCCGGTTTGAAGGGCAGCGGTCGCAAGGACTCGTTCATAAATACGCAGAGGGTATGGGCGTCCGCGCTCGCCCCCGCCGCAAATTGATCCATGATAAACGGGATGATGAGTGTGACCTCTTGGTGTCGGAGAAGGGCCTGGCGAGCAGACGGGTGTACGGCGGTGGGCATCACTTAGAAATGGAGGAGAAGTGGGGGGAAGAGCTGCTTTTGCCAGGTGGCGCAGGTACATTAGTTAACAGACACGCGACATCCACTGCCACAGATCACCCAGTGGTCTGCCGTTTGGAGGATCTCGCACTGCGGGCGGCTCGCTCCGAGGAAGGGTCAGAGAGGGAGCGAGTCGTTCTTCCAGACTCCCTAGCTTGTGCGGACACAACCAACGCACCAAGGATTAAATACGGTCTGGAGGAGATGAGCAACAGGCGGGTTGAAAGGCTCAGTGGCAGCAGCAAGAATTTGAGCAGTACAGTGATCTGATGGGGAGGCGGTTGGTGGCAAGAGGCGATATTATCCGACAGGTCCTGGTCGATAGGTACCTCTGCATATACACTTGTAAAAAATCGAACATCCTTATTGCACGTGAATATAACCCTTTCATCAGCCCATGCCTCTTTTCTTTTTTGCTTCACTGTCGTTCGCTCCATTAGGAATTGCCACGCTCTTGGCCACCATCTTGGCCACTCTCTGTGAGGCGCAAACCAACATCATCGGAATCGTTATCCTTTTTTAAAAAGAGGGGTCCACAATTTCTCGTCTCTTTCTGTTTGGCGATTTGAAGTGGCTTAAAACACGGTTCTCCGCCCCGTTGCTTGATGGTCATCAGACCATTCCATGGGCCATTTTAAAGTCTTATTTGAAATGCACTCGCGGCGACTAAAGTTGCTACCCCTTACAGCCTATCTGGTAACCATACATCCGTCAGTCCACGCTTCCACCATGGACACACGGCTTTGCTCTTGTTTCCACACCTAAATATACGCACACGCTTGAGTCTGAAGCCGCATTCCCGCCCACCAGGCGGAGAATCCTCCAATCTTCCCAGAATCTCTATTTGAGCCGCGAAGTGGATTTCCAAAATGTAGAATGTGATTTTATAATTACGCGTGAAAGGACTCCCTCATTTCCCTCTCCCACTCCTTGCATTCCTCCATGTCTCCCACCTCGGTACTCGTGAACGCAATACCCCGTTTGCCTCAGGGTCCACAACCTTCATCACGCTTCCTTGGTGTGTACCGAGCCACCAGACTCCCACATTCCCTCCACTCCTGGCCCAAATCCCCCTCCAGTACATCCACAACCTCACTTTTTGGGTAACATTACGTTCACCAAGAGCTCAGGCACACCTACAAATCCCCTCAGTTTGCAACGCAGGTACCATCGAAAAGGCATTTGTTTCCCATCAGTCTTTCCTGCTCGCCCACAAAACAGTGCCAAATGGTACGCTGGCGAGGGTAGGCCATTCTCCCGAGTCGCTCCTGACTAATCATTCTGTCGAAGACTTGCACTCTTTCCCCTTTCCCCCTCCGCCCTCCCCGGTCCTCATGCCTCTACCCCTGAGATCGGATCTCCTTCCGGGTATGGTGATGGTGGTGATGGCCCACCAAATGTGCGGGGGACCCCGGTGGCTTGTCACTCTCAACCAACTCCTTGGCGTATTGAGTCAGCAAGGCCCCAAAGGCCGCACTCGCCAAGGGCGGGACGCCCCCCGTCAGGGTGGATGAGGAAGGGGGCACCGCCGGCGAACATGAGGCAGTGGCGGGCACGGGGCCCGTCGCCTCGGTCCCTGCCACGGAGGCGGGGGCAGACGGGGCAGACGTGGTGCCCAAGGCTGTGACCAAGGTCTCGAGCAGGCGTTTCTTGTGCTCCGGTGATAACTTCGTCAGACTCTCGGGCAGAAAACCCACGTCTGCCGCGACCTCGGTCCCAGTGGCCCTGACCGCGTTCCCGCCCTCTTGAGCCGGCCCCACCCGCGCTTCTTTACAGTCCTCCCCGTCCATGGCCACACCGCCCAGACTGTCGTCGCTGCCGCTTAGGTGGATGGGCCGCGGGGAGCCCGGCGGCGAGGTCTCCATTGGGACACCGGCATTCGCCCCATGGTAGGCCAAAGACCCCCGCGCACTCGCGCCCGTCGCCCGCCCAAGACTCTCCGAGCTGAGCAGGCCATGGGAAGCCCCTCGCTCCTGCGCATGACCATCTTCCTCCCCATCCAGCTCCAGAATGCTCAGCGCGAAGTCCTTCTCCCCGCCCGCGCCGCCCTCCCCACTGGGTCCCGCCGCCGACGCACTGTTCTGACGGCCGTCCTCCTCCCCCCCCAACCCCACGCCCAAGAAGGGATCAAATGCCACAGAGAGCTTCTCCCCGTCTTCCTCCTCATCTCCACTCAAAAACAGGTGGCTGTGTTCCTGGAACGCTAGCACAGAGTCAGCGCTGCAGGTGTTTCCGAGGAGCCCCAGGCCCGCCCCTACCAAGTCGCTCCCATTGCCCTCTCCTTCCGTGGAGGGCATGGCCGACAGGTCTGGCAGCCCCTTCGTACCCTTGAGAAGACCCTCTTGGATGCCTCTCTCTCCATCGACCTGCCGGGGCCCCTGCATCCTCCCGGCCCCCGCCTCCCCCCCCTCCCCCTCGGACTCCTCCTCCTCCTCCTCCTCCTCGTCGTCGTCTTCCTCCTCCCTTCCCGCCGCCCTCCTGTCTGTCTTCCCGACGCCTTCCGTCCCCTCCGTTGCCCCTCCAGGGCCACCATCACCGCCGCCGCCGCCGCACGGTCCGCCGACACCTTCCTCTTCTTGGGGTCGGCCCCCTCTGAGCCCATCTTGGCAACCATCAGGCCTTGCACCAGGGACGTCAGACGGTCGATGTCCGAGCTCATCTCCTGGATCCGGTCCTTGAGCTGCCCTACCTCTGTCTTCAGGTGCGAGACTTCCTGCTCGTTGCTCGCCCCATGCGTGGCCCGTCGGATCTGAGCCAAGAGCTGCGGCTTTCCCCGAATGAACTTGTCGTGCCGAAACTCCCACCACTTGGCACTGGCGCCGCCTCCGCCACCCGCGTTCGCCGGATTGCTGCTGGCAGCCGCGTTGCTTCCTCCCTGCCAGAG